AAAAACATTCTTAAAATGTTTGGTGATAATATTGTTAGAACATTATGCCCTACTATTCTTAAAACGTTTTCAGCGGGAAGTTTTTGTTTGGTTCCCAGAATGTTCTTCTGAAAGGTAGGATAACATTCTCTAAAAACATTCTTAAAATGTTTGGTGATAACTTTCCTAAAATGTTTTTGATAACATTGTTAGAACATTATGCCCTACTATTCTTAAAACGTTTTCAGCAGAAGCTTTTATTTTGGTTCCCAGAATGTTCTTCTGAAAGGTAAGATAACGTTCTCTAAAAACTTTCTTAAAATGTTTTTGATAACATTGTTAGAACATTATGCCCTACTGTTCTTAAAACGTTTTCAGCTGCAACTTAGATTTTTTTATGTTGCCAGAATGTTATTATTTTAGAGAAGGATAACATGCTTTATGTTTAAAACATTATGCAAATGTTCTGTGGTAACAATTTACTACAATATTTTTACATTATTAGAACATAAAGACATAATATTCCTGTAATTGTTCAACTCAAAATTCCTGGGTAACTGGACTGACCACTGTGGTCATTAGGATGATTTTGATAGTTTACTTAGCTATTGGAATTTGACTATTAACACATGTAAAAGGATGACTCGGAATCAGCTGGTGAAAGTAACATTTGTTTATTAGAAAAGGGGAGCTGGGAGTGGAGGTTGGTTATGGCAGCAGTGGGAAACAGTTGTTCCAGGGTGGAGAGGCCTGGCTGGTCTTGGGAGTGTGGAAGGCCTTGGATTCCTCCTGGGAGAGATATAACAATGAGTGTGAGGCAAAAGCAGGCAAAGTTGTCAAAGAATATGCTGGCAAAAAGCTAGAGCGGCACGCAACAAACCGTTCACGGCAACAATCCGGCAGGGAATGAGTGCAGGCTGCAGGCTTTCATAGTGTGGCTGATGAGCAGGTTGCAGGTGTGGTTGATTGGAGATTTCTCCCAGCCGTGTAGAATAGACCAGCAAGCAGGTGGGGGGAGAGAGAGACATACACAGTAGAAACAAACACATACAAACACTAACAGGGGTTTAAGGGACGGGCAGTGATAGTCGGTCCGTTCTTCTATATGTCTGTCTTTGGTTTTCTAAGTGTTATTCGATCCATATGACAATAGAGATATGTGCATAAACAACAAAAACACTTGGGGTATAATGTTCGAACAATGTTATCACCAAACATTTTAAGAATGTTTTTAGAGAACGTTATCCTACCTTTCAGAAGTACATTCTAGGAACCAAAATAAAACTTCTCGATGAAACCATTCCTAGAACAATGAATGGTAACATTCTCAGAATGTTTTTAGAACCAACAATGTCTAGCTGGGAACTCAGACATGCCTACGCAAACATGCAATATTATGAATTACATGCTTGTTTTTTTTTTTAAAAAGGAAAATGTGGTGACATCAGATTTTTTTTAAACATCCTTTTCAAACAAATGCAACAAGTTTGGATTTTAAAGCGCACTACAAATACATCTGACGTTGACCATGACCGTGTTAATATTTCGCATCACAGGAACGTTTTATAAAAAAAGAATAACCTCCTGAAAACATTATCCAAATGTTGCTTTCAAAATGTTCTTCTTTGGTTATCATGTAACATTGAGGGAATGTTTTATAAAGAACATCTTTAATGTGTTACCCCAACAACGTCCAAAACACATCCTTAGAATGTTGCAGGCAAAACATTCCACCTTTGTTAACATATCACATTAAAGGAACATTTTATAAAACACTTTCTGTCATCTCAGGCCTCAATAACATCCTCAAAACATCCTCTGAATGTTGCAGTTAAAACGTTATGTCTTAGTTAACCTTAAACCTTATAGGAACATTATTTGAAAAAATAAACATCCTAAAAAGGTTCTTTGAACATCAGATGAAAACGTTTCTTTAAAACCTTATTAGAACCTGTAGGTAATGTTAGCCAAAGTTGTGAGAACGTTCCCCGCTAGCTGGGATGTCTGTCGGTCTCAAATCTAAAGGGTGCAATAACGATTTTTATCCAATATGCATAAACAGCGGACACTGTTTATACGCAGCCCTCACAAACCACACCTGGCAGGATAGCTTATCTAACAGTTAGAACCTACGTACGAGACACAACCTTTATAGTCAGAAAAAAGTGTGATTATCTTCGGATATTTTACACATATGATATTATGAATACTGTGGGCCTACATACCTTAGTGTGATTATAAGTGCATGTGAGTGAATATTGGCATGTATAAATTCGTTTTTATACGTCCTATTCATTGTCTCAATGCGATCATACATCTTAAGAAAGTTATCACCAAAAATGTTAAGAATGTTTTTAGAGAACGTTATCCTACCTTTCAGAAGAACATTCTGGGAACCAAAATAAAACGTCCCGCTGAAAACATTTTAAGAACAGTAGGGCATAATGTTCTAACAATGTTATCAAAAACATCTTAAGAAGGTTATCAAAAACATCTTAAGAAGGTTATCACCAAACATTTCCAGAATGTTTTTAAAGAACGTTATCCTACCTTTCAGAAGAACATTCTGGGAACCAAAATAAAACGTCCCGCTGAAAACATTCCTAGAACAACGAATGGTAACAAACATTTCTAGCTGGGAACTCACACATGCCACTGCAAACATGCAATATCTGCTTACAGCTTATCATGAATTACGTGCTTGTTTGTTTTTTTCAAAAGGAAAATATGGTGACATCAGATTTTTTTTAAAACATTCTTTTCAAACAAATGCAACAAGTTTGTTTTTTAAAGCGCTCTAGAAATAAATCTGACCATGACCGTGTTAATATTTGCCATAACAGGAACATTTTATAAAAAAAAGAATAACATCCTGAAAACACTTTCAGAATGTTTCTTGGAGAATGTTCTTCATTTGTTATCATGTAACATTGAGGGAACGTTTTATAAAGAACATCTTTAATGTGTTACCCAACAACGTCCAAAAAACATCCTTAGAATGTTGCAGGCAAAACGTTCCACCTTTGTTAACATATCACATTAAAGGAACGTTTTATAAAACACTTTCTGTCATCTCAGGCCTCAATAACATCCTCAAAACATCCTCTGAATGTTGCAGTTAAAACATTATGTCTTAGTTAACCTTAAACCTTATAGTATAGTTACATCTGTATGTCAAATATGTCTTATATGTCTTAAATGATATGATGAATTGGAAATGGGGGACCCTGATGTAAACAAGACGAAAGTCTTTCTCTGGTCTGCATCCCCTTAACAATTGTATGTTTTGAGCTGTACTGTACCCAATATACAAGCTGTTAATAAACTTTTCAATCAATCAATCAATAGGAACATTATTCGAAAAAATAAACATCCTAAAAAGGTTCTTTGAACATCAGATGAAAACGTTTATTTAAAACCTTATTAGAACCAATATGTAACGTTAGCCAAAGTTGTGAGAACGTTCCCCGCTAGCTGGGCTGCTGCTTCCCCTCCTCTCTCTTCGGCTCCCCTCCTCGACTCCTCCGCTCGCATCTCCTGTGGGCGGGACTAAGACACGAGGATAGGAGTCGAGGAGGGGAGTCGAGGAGGGGAATTTGAGAAATGGGAAACCTTCATAGTAATTAGGTTTGTAGTAGTATATATTTTTTGTATGGGTAATGGTTTGAAATATTATAATATATTATTGTGTGATCGCAATGGGTTGGTTTGTGTGGGTCACATGGATATAGGCATAGGGATTATAATCAGCTGTTCACCTGTGTGAAGAGCAGTGTTGGGGTGATTACTTAAAAAAAGTAATACATTACTAATTACCTTTAAAAAAGTAATGCCTTACTTACTAAATTACTCACTGCTGAAAGTAATTAGTTACACTACTAGTTATATTAGTTTTGGACGTGAGATGCACCATAAACCATTACAGACAAGTGTAATCTGATTAAAGTAGCGTGTTACTTTGTAGCGCGTTACCCCCAAACTCTGGTGAGTTGTGTGGAGGGTCGCTGTATTTTTTTGTTGACAGCAAACTTTAACAGTGCTTTGATTATTAATAAAATGTCTTTGTCCATGTTGTAATAAGTTAATCATCTAAGTTTTTCATGAAGTTACCATTTTGATCTCAGCAATACATTTTTAGATAGCGCATAAGACAATTGCCACAAGGCTTGACCTCAGTCAGCCTCTCTGTTTGTTTCCTGAAGTCACTGACACCTTCATGTAGTCCGTCCTCTTCCCAGATCTCCATGGTGGAGACCAAGTGGTGTGATTCAGAGTCTGTCTTTCAAGCTGCACCAAGTATTTGGACTCCTCTCCATATCCATATACTTCAAATAAATCTGTACTGTCATCCTGAACTCTGATATTGTAACTATTCTTTTGGTCTGTTCTGTCCACCAGTGGCTCCCAACCTTGAGCTGGTCGCCATTCTATAAGAACCCCCTCCCTCATCTGTGATTACTCGCCTACAAACACTCCCTGTGTGTTTGGTGCTCCGGTGATGCTGCATGTGGGCTGGCTTCATAGAATTACTTGCCAGGCTTCACCGCATAAAAAGGGCTGAAGTCTGGCTGCGACGGATCAACAGATGTACAACTAAGATGAGAAATGTATTTCTCACCGAACTGCTGGTGTTTGGTATTTTTTCTTCTTTACTGGGCTATCTTAAACCCGGTTTTGCAGCGATGGGACCGGTAGCTTTGTCCCTGCCTCACCATGCATCCATTCTTACCAACATTTTGCAGCTAATGTTAGCTCGTTGCTATTCGTGCCGCCGTAGCTACAGAGGCAATCAATCAACACCATCAAACACCGGGCTGATAAATAAATTGCAATCCCTAATCTCTCTACAGACCCCCTGCAATCCCCTCAAGTACCCCTAGGTGCCCCCGTAACGCCGGTTGGGAACCACTGCTGTACACGAGGGATCCATTGCATGCCTGGACGTCACATCAGTGAACTCTTCCAACAGAACATATAATCATATGTTCATGCTGTTGATCTTCTCATACTGTAGGTGTAGAATGTCTCGAAACCTGTGGCAGCCGGCGGGGGCAGAGAGGAGGAGGAGGAGGATGACAGCGAAGATGCTGCCTCAGCCCCGTCAGGCCGGTTATAAGGAATCTGGCTTAGGAATCAGGAAATGGCGTTTTTTCAGATGAGGCATGCATCATGTCTATTGTGCAGTTTCAGAGTCAACATACGTGCCAGTGCTATTGTCTGTTGTTTTTCATAGTATTTACATACCATCACCACTGTCAGCGAGTCCACTGCACCTTGCCGCTGCTTTATGGCTCCTCTCACTCACACAGTATGGTACACACTAACAGAATTCAAGATATGAATCCTTTATGGTGATGGACAAAAATGTAGACTATAACTATTATCTCACTCCAACTGCCTGATTCCAACCTCTGGGTCCAACATTCATACAGTTTAAAGTTTGAGACACAAGGAGTCTTTTATATAATGTATTACATTCCAGCACTCGATGGGCTATGAATCTTGCCTTATCACAAGGTTATCAGAGGTGGGAGAAGTGCTGAGATCTCGTACTTAAAGGGCCCATGTCATGGCCATTTCCACTGATCATAATTACATTGTTGAGGTATACTAAAATAGATTTATACTGTGCAATTTTCCAAACTCACATTGGTTTCGCATACAGCATCTCTGTCAAGCATGTGTATTCAGCAGTATTCACTTTCTCCACTAAACGACTCGTTGGAGCTCTTGCCCCCCCCTCCCTGTGAGCCTAGTGTGCTTCCGATTGGTCAGCTCGGCCACTCGTTCTGATTAGTCAACCACCAGAGAGGCTGCGCCCATGTCAGTGCTTTTCCCGGCTGCTCTCAGCGTAACATCAGTCTTATCATGGCGTCGGTACAGCGGTATATTTTATATACATATATATTTTTAACTGTTGTTATAGAAGAGTGTGACGGCCTCAGGGCCTTTGTCTTACGGTGGGGTGGAGCTGAAGAGGGTAATCAGCGCGATCACGGACACCTCCGTAGCCGGTGCTATTAATCCCAGCGGCCCGGAGTCTCTCTCCAAAGCGGCTGCAGAAGGACGAACTGAGCGACCCTCTCCCCTCGACCACCTGTCTCTGCATTTACTACAATAAATGTGCCGTGGTTTTGTAAACTCGTGTATGTCTCCTTGTCTTTCCGTTGTGGCCTACGAGCGACTCTCATAACAAAGAGTAAGTTATGTTTACCCGTTATAAACTACTACTGTTTGATGAGAAATCAAATCATGGTTTGCTATATATGAATTCAGGGAAGAAAGGATAGGCCTACTAAGTATTTCCATTAAACTTTATTTTTTAGAAATGTACAAAATGAACATAAATATACATATATACACGGTATATCATCCATTCCTCCTCCTCGCATCTTGCCTGCGCACAGTCGGTGCGGTGCCTTTTAGCACCCTCAGTAGTAGTAGAATCCCTTCCCCGTCATGGATTGTCCGCCAGGATCTGGCTGGACGAAATCAAATGCAAATCACAAAATATTAGAGAAACTTAGTTGTTTTAGATTCGTTAGTAGTAGTTGTGTAATGAACAGCTTGCCTGCTAATATGCTAACCTAGCTTTGTTTACCTTGGTAGCTAACACGATATGAACGTTAGCTTGGAGGAAAGGCAACTATAATGCAGTGTAATAAAACTACTATGAACAAAAGCTAGTGGTTCATATTAGGCTAGCAATAACGTGTTTATAATTGCAATCGTATACGGGTATTCTGCTACGTTCGGTCATACAATGTAACTTGCATGAATACATTGTTTTGCGCTAGCATACAGCTAGCCTCGTTAGCTACATGCAGTATATGTACGGTCACAATGTACGGTAAACCGGAGTATACTGTATGAGTATTCCGTGTGTGTGACTGCAGACATTCTCCTGCCATGACAAACATGTAAGGCCATCTGCTGACATTGTAGTTGATATATTTAAACGCTAGCAACGTAGCATCACAAAAATGTTTTTCTGACCGAAACTAGCTCTAGCTCCGTGTGTTAGATCGCTACGCCAGCTATAATGTAATTACGTTTCGCGACGTGACCGGCAAATCACCCGGAGTATACTGTCAATAGGTATTTTGTGTGTGAATGCAGACATTCTCCTGCTATGAGATACATGTATGCAAGGCCATCTGCTGATATTAGAGTTGATATATGGAAACTCTAGCAACTTAGTTAGCACTGTGTCAATGGCTTAGCAGTCCAACACAGTTTACACATTTAAACAGTCTTGTTTGATAAATACACAAATAACAATGCAAACTTACAGGTTGTATACCCAGATCTTCCCCTGCTCCAAACGGTCCAAACAAGCTGTGCATATCCGGCCTCAAACTGGGCAATGTTTTGGAAGCTTTCGTCTGTGAAATGCCGGTTCTTCGAACCTCTGGAGGAGGAACACGCCGCTGCTGGTGTGGCCATAGCTCTTCGGGATTGGTCCATTTCGTTCCGGGTACCGCATGACATCAGGCGGTACCCGGAAGAATCAAATGGGCAGTGACGTATCTCCAACGAGGCGTTTTGGGGAGGTATTTTCTGTGTTAGAGTTTTACTCGCTACAGGGTGTACTTTGAGGGTTTTGACTCTGCACACCGTTTTCATGCATAAAAACCTTCATAACACACAAGGGGACGGGTAATAACCGGAAAAGCATGACATGGGAGCTTTAAGTAAAAGTAGAAGTATTAGAGAGTAGGAATACTCTGTTACAAGTAAAAGTCCTTCAAATGTTCCTCAAGTAAAAGTAGTCATTGTGCAGATTGGTCCATTTCAGAATAATATATATGATATGTTTTATAATGATTGATCATTAAAGTGTTCTCAAAGCTGGTAAAGGTGCAGCTAGTTTGAATGACTTTGTATACTGCAGGGTAGCTTGTGAATTTACTCCAGGTGGAACTAAAGTCTGATTTAACACTTGATTATATTTCACATCATTAGTCCACATCTGTAAAGTAGTTACTTTACCTTTAGTTAAAGGTATTAAATAAATGTAAAAAAAGTAGACAATTTAACTCTGAACTGTAGTGGAGTAGAAGTACAAAGCAGCAAACATGGAACAAATCTACTTAGTTACTTGAGTTTTTGTTTTATTTCCTTCTTTTGAATGAAATAAATAACTCTAACTTCTGATTTCCATGTGCCAGGCTTCTGCTCTGCTGCTTTGTGTTTGCCAGTCAGTTTTTCTCTCTATCCCCACAGGGCTTTATGGGACCAGTTTAGCCGGTTATGTGGGATTTCAGCAGAACAGGAAAATCAAGGGCCAACTTGCCCGGGCCTCAGTGTTTGCGTTACTTAAGGGGACGACAGCTCCAACCGGTTTTTTGGGGTGGAGAGAGGGGAGGGTGTGGGGCGTTCTCCCTCGCCTTGTTCTCCTCTCTTCTCCTCACTATCGCTCTGTCTCTGTATCACTGAGATCATCTCTAGCACCGGGCGAGTGAAGGGCAGGAGACGGCCTCCGATATCAGAGGTGAGTTTCCATCTGAATGAGCTGAAGTTGTTGCCTGAGGGCCGGAATACATTACCTGACAGGGAGGGGGGGGGCAGGTATGTGCAGCAGGCTGGAGGACTGGCAAGTACAGAGCTGGCATACAACCACAACTCGTAGTTGATTTTATTTATAGTTGCTTGTAAGTTCTTTAATTAAGTGAATACAATGTGCAAAATAAATCTGCTCTGGGGTCATATGTGTATATGTGTGTGTGTGTGTGTGTGTGTGTGTGTGTGTGTGTGTGTGTGTGTGTGTGTGTGTGTGTGTGTGTGTTTGCCATCATGCCTTATGATAAGTATTTAGGTTATTCTTTTATTTTCCTTCTTTTTTTAATTAAGTAAATAACTCTGTCTTTCTAACTTCTGATTTCAATGTAACAGGCTTTGCACCTTTGTGTGTGTGAGTGTGTGTGTGTGTTTGTGCGTGCGTGTGTGTGCGTGTGTGTGCGTGTTGTGTGTGTGTGTGTGTGTGTGTGTGTGTGTGCATGTGTGTGTGTGTGTGTGTGTGTGTGTGTGTGTGTGTGTGTGTGTGTGTGTGTGTGTGTGTGGGGGGGGGGGGGGGGGGGGGGAGTTCTGTCATTTATCATGTATTGCTATTTGCTTTAAAGCAAGTTTGGTTTCGGTCAGACAGCAGAGCAGCAGCAGATGGGAGGTGTTCTGATTCTGATATGATTCTGATTCTGCTGAAGCTCCAGTGGTGAGATAAGCAGCCAGGTTGACAACTACACACATATGCATGTATTTCTACACAGTAGGTGTAGAGCATCCAAGGGTGCATACTTCCACCTTATGTGATAATGCTAATAGTGGGAGGAGTGTCATAGAGTAGCGTCAGACATAACAGATTTAAAGATTCTGGGAATTCAATGCTAGTTCACAAGTAGGTAAGACATATTGGCAACCTGTGCGTGTGTGCGTGAGAATACTGATCTGGAGACAGCAGAGCGGGCACATGGAGGCAGACAGGTCTTTTCTTGCTCTACTGACACCCTTTTCCTGACATATCCCGACACGTTGAGAGCGTCTGATCCGCGCTGATCAAAACGCTCAATAGTGTTCAATGAATGTGCTTATAGTGATCATGTGAAATAATGAGCAAGCTGAAAGTGACACTTTAAGTCACCTGCTTGCATTGAGACTTCAAATCAACAAAAGATCTTATTTGTAATCAGTGACACAAATCGACACCATGTGCTGTACTAATCTGCATTCATAGACACAATGTATAAGAGCTGGGGTTTATGTACTTGAAGCACAACCCTTCGCAGAACCAGTCTATCGGGTTCCTATCATCCTTGATATAACAACAAGATTTGCCGCCACATTCGTGTAACAGCTTTTATGCAGCAGCAGTGTGTGACGTACACCCGGAACACAACACAGTCCCCAGGCTACAACGGCCAACAACCTTGAATGTCTCACTATCTTCACACATTAGTTGATTTATCTTATTTTAGTGCAGGGGAGAAAGAGAATGAATGAAAAAGTGAATGGCCATACAATTGTGTACTGTCAAGTCTAATACACCCTAAAGGATATTTAATTGACTATCTAGGGTTTTATGCGCATTATCAATCTGCGTATAAAATAATTGAAAAGCCAAACATTCATAAATTGCAATAAATATCACAAGGCTTTGCTAAGGTGGTATTAGTTGGTGTATATAAAAGTAAATAAAGCAAAGTGCAATGCAAACAGATGGAGCAAATACATGAAGACACAGATCTGATGCCACCTTCTTTACATTCATACACTGAAAGAACTGAAACGTTGACTATAATTAAATGTATTACGTCAACTAATAACATATAACTGTATTAGGTAAGTTGAAAGCAATAAGGTTACGTTTAAATAACATATTAGGTTCAACTTAATATTATTGCTTTCAACTAACCTAATACAGTTATGTGAGATCTGTTGACATAATACATTTATTTAAAGTCAACGTTTCAGTTTTTCACTGTACATGTAACAATCAAAAAGGTCATATTTCTATCAATTATTCCAAGTTTATTTCCTAGTTGAAGGCCAACTGGAGCTCTTTTAATTCTGTCCTCTTGTTGTGCCTTCTACAATATCTAGGAGAACTCACTGTGTGATTATGCAGTACTATACGCAGATTGTAATGTTACTTAAGTCTGTTTATAATGCATTATCATCGCTTTCAGCTTCATTCAATCAATCCAAAACGTTGACAAAATATTTTCTGTCTCTCTTCTGTTGTGCAATCAGACTGAAATCAGAGGAGGTAACAATGGAGTGCTTCAACAGCCTGCTCCTGAAACTGAGGGAGGTCCACGAGCGGGAAGTTGAAGGTGAGTGTAAAACGGGAAACCAGAAGCCATCAAAAGTTGTAAAGCAGCTGTAATGTGCAGAGTATCCTGTGTCAAGGGTTAAAACCATGTGTGTTTGACTTTCAGGGTGGCAGATGAAAATCCAAGAGCTGTCCAACAAGAAAGGCTGGTGGGTGGATCTCTCACCCCCTGAGGTTTTACAATGGTCGTGTTTAGACAACGCTTACAAGATATTCAAGTTTAGCCGTAGAGCCAGCAGTGTGTGGACCGGGCTGCTCTTGCACCTGGCCCCGTGTGTGTCCGTGTCATGTCTTGTGAGGAAGCTCATGTTGCAACAAGTTATTCAGTCTGAGTCACAACACTTTGTTTAGTTTCTTTTTAAAACCAGTGGAAAATCATCCTGGTAGAGAGGTCGTCTTATTTTAGATCATTGCTACAATAGAAAGTTACAGTGATGATGCCTAGCAATATAACAACATATTTGGCAGACGTGGTAGAAGTACTCAGAGATGAGGTAGCTTAAGTGGTCAAATGCTAACTCATACCAAGGTTTAACGACTTGTTCTTGCACCACTCTATTCAAGAATGTCCTTACATCGTATAGTGAATCATCTCATCTCTATCAAACACTGGTCCAGTTAATGTGGCTCAATAGCTGATTCATTAGAATGTCAGCTGGTATAACTCGTCAGACGTACTGTGCTGTACAGGTTGTGCCTTACCTGTAACTTAAAGTCAGATCAACTCCTTTTACTGCATTGATGTCATTCCATTCCAGATGACAGTATGCTTCAGCTTAGCAGAAGTAGAGCTTACATGCTGATGTGTAATTATAATTAAAATCCAATAATACATTAATACAGCACTGACCATTAGTGCAGAATTGTTCAGTTTCTTGTATTTTAAATGCTCATAGGTGAATCAGTGATGTTGTATATGTCTGTGTTCTGATACAATTCATTTGACTCGGGTTTATGTTGCTCTCAATGAACGTACAGTTCCATTAGAAATAGAGATAGAAGCACAGCTAAAACAAGAACAAAATTACACAAGAATAAAATACCAGTACGTAAAAATAAACGCAACAATGAACAACAAATACTATGTTTATATGTAAGTCACCCGTTTCTGTAACCTGTAGATAACAACACATTAGTGCTAAGAGTGCTGCAATAAGTATTACATAATCAATGTAATGGATAACTTTACATGAACATAAGTAGAGGGTGTATTTACATGTTAAGAACAGCATGTGATATTTTAAAGGCACAGGGATTGTTTTCTGATTCTACTAACTGATGTGTGTGTTATCACAACAATGCTTTCTCACTGAACATATCAATCAGACACGCTGTGTGATCTCATAACATTCAGATAGCAGCCTTATTCTTGTTTTATGTGTATCTGACAGTGAGTGTGTGTATGTGTGTTTCTATGTGTGTTTGCATGTAAACAGTGATACAAAGCGAATGGAAGATCTGTTCACCAAAAACCAGCAGATGAAAGAACAGCAGAGACACCTCACAGAGAACATCAAGACCTTGGAGAACAGGTACGGATGCCACTGTGGTTCTAGAAATTATAATTGATAGTTCTCTTCCATTTAGGACATGTTGTTCATGTGTCTTTGTGATGCCTACACACACTGGGTACTTTTTTGTTGCTTGTCTTGGCCAGCACACTCTGAAAAATAGGTTTTTGATCTCAATGTATTACTGGTTAAATAATGGTTGAATCAAAAATGTATTACAAACACTTTGGCAAAATGATATAATGGTAATACAAACACTATAGGTTAATAGTAGCACAAGTGGAAAAAAGTCAGCTAACATGAATGTCATTAACACAATAGAATCTGTTTAATGTTTGCTAACATTATCGACCACAAGGTGTATTGAATTAGGAAATGGTGCAATTGAATGCTTATAATTAAATTCAACTTAGTTGACTGAATTCAAAGTGTTGTGGTCTCACTGTGGCCTGTGTGTGATGTATGTGAATGTAAAAAGAGGATGTGTGTTATGGAGTATCTGATGTGTGTTTCAGGCTGAGGGCCGGGCTGTGTGACAGGTGCACGGTGACTCAGGAAGTGGCTAAGAGAAGACAGCAGGAGTTTGAAGCGTCTCAGATCCAGAGCCTGCACAACCTCTCCCTGCTGGGTATTCTGCTTGCCTTTCAATTCCCTGATCATCCATTCCCATCTGTCACCTTCATCATACTCTGTCACGTCAGACTGAATCAGCATTACAACTTTTTCATTTGATATATTTCTTATCTCTCTTTAAGACGGCATATAAGGATTGTATGGTACATTTTCATCTTAGTATTTCAGATTCTTTCTTTGCAAATTGGACACGTTATTATCCTAGAGAATGGGTATTTTGGTAAGATGTTTACTGTTATTATTATTATGCTTTATTTAATTTTTGTATAGTTTTGCCTTATTATAGTACAGCCAAAGATAGATGGGTCAGCATCAACAATGACCTATCGTTTTGATGTACATGGGGAACATTTTTATATTTACATGTTCATCATTGTTAATTTTGAACATTTCATTATTTTAATCTCTGAAATATATTTTTTATATATATTACCCCCACCCCCCCCCCCCCCCCCCCCCCCCCCCCTCCACCTGCTCTGTGATTTCATTTGAACCTGCGCTGGCCCGAAAACGCTGTCATACTTCTTTGCCTTTTCCATTAAGAACAACTCTCTTTCAAACTCTATCCATGTTTTTTCTTTCACCTAATAATACATTTGAAAAGTAAACGTTGTTGTCCAAAGCTCTGATCATGGCTTGTTGTCTGTCTTGTAGCGGGAGAAATGAACAACCAGAAAAAAGAGAACAAGAGGCTGCGAGAGGAGCTCCGGAGTTTACGAGCAGCACTCGAGTTAGTATATCATCATTACTCAAACTCTTGTACATTTTCACATTATGCTACTTCATATTTTTACTTCACTACATATTGTAGGCCACTGTTGTACTTTTTACTCCACTACATGTATTTCACATATTTAGTTACTAGCTACTCTGCAGATTTGTAAACTATGAATACAATTATATAAATCAGATCATTCATGATCGTAAATTATTATAGGTTAAGCAACACATTATTATATAAATTAAATCAAATAAACCCAATTTTACCAAGTGCAACTGAAGTGATGAACAGATACAGAGCCTCCACAGCCTGCACAAATAACTGATACAACAAATTAAAAAGATATGGTGCTTAAATGGGTCATTCTGCATATTAAGTACTTTTACTTTTGATACTTTAAATATATTTTGAATGCAGGACATTTACTTTAGCCGAGCACTTTTACACTGTAGAAATGCTACTTTCACTTAAGTAAATAATCTGAGTACTTCTTCCACCTCTGTATATATGTGAACACATGTTTGGCGTTTGACCAGTATCTGACAATGGAGGGTGGTCTGCCTGAAGGCCCCCTCCCACAAAGCCCCCCTGCTGTAATAAAACATAACCCTGTGTGTGCAGCAGAGGCCAGAGTGACAGCAGCACAGAGGTCAAAGCACAGAGCCCCCCCGACCTCTCCCCCCCCTCGGGCCCCGTGGCCCTCGTCCGCACGGCAACCAGTAGGGCCGGTAACCAGCCAGAAGATGGCGATGTTGTGGTGAAAACTGAGGCAGACCAGAGAAGTGAAGGTGAGAATGAGGAAGAGCTGTTTGCTTGTGTATTTATTGATTATCATGCTCACAATTTTACATTAGATTATGTTTGTGATCAAACAGAAGCTCAACACAGACAACTGAGATGGATCAACAGAAACCACTATGTAAGTTTCTAAATCACTCTCATAAGAGTTAAGAGTTAAAAGAAAGGGAAAACAGCTAGCCTCACTTTGTCCAAAGGTACACTGAAAAAACTGAAACGTTGACTAATTAAATGTATTACGTCATCAAATTTCACATAACTGTATTAGGTTAGTTGAAAGCAATACAATTAAGTTGAATCTAATATTGTTTTATTTAAACTTAATATAATTGCTTTCAACTAACCTAATACAGTTAGGGGAAATCTGTTGACATAATAACAAATTAAAGTCAACGTTTCACTTTTTTCAGTGTAAAAAACCCCAAACAGAAACATTAACCTAACTGCAGGTTTAACGCTCAATCAATCTCCTTATTGTCAATCCTCGAGAAGTGTGTAGATCATTTCATTTCCTTTGCATGGAGCCAGGCTAGCTATGTCGCTTTTTTTTACTGGTCATTTTCTTCCTGAATAGATTCATATTTTGCATGATGTGAAAATGTGAAATTATACCTTTATGAATGTGATACTGAATAGCCACACATTTTGTTCTCTCTTTCCATAATTCTAACAGGATTCATATAAGCCTCTTTCCTGGAAAACAGAACCTAGCATACCCCGTGCTGGAGAGAGGAGGTGAGACACAGCCACGTAGGAAATAATACAATATGCTGTAATAGGGTAAAATGGAACAGTAAATGGAACACATCGGTGATTGGGTGTGCAATATTTATCCAAAGACAACTGAGAAAAGATAGAGACAAAAATGGAAAGAAGAACAAAAGTCAGCACTCCCAATAGAGATTTGAAGTTTTCCCTACTTCTGAAAAAAGTAATCATATAATCTGGTTTGGGGAGTAACAGATTACATGTAACGAGATTACGTAATCAGGATACGAAAGTAAGGTAACTGTATTTGATTACAATTGCATATCAAAAATCAGAATTCTGTTACATTTACAAAAAAATTGAGATTACTATGAGGATAACAGTGTTACAATACATTTTTAAATAAAGATGGATATATTATAGGAGAGCATACTGAATGAATTTTCTTTAAGGTTTATATTTAGGGTACTTTAATTATTTATTTTAAATACTTGTATTTGTAATGCAGTAGGTGGACACCTGGTTTATTAAACAGTTACACAATACATTTAGCTTTTGACTAATGCTTTCGCAGCATTTGTGAACTATGACTGTTACTGCATTTTGATATAATGTATCTTGGTTTCTACTTCTCTTGGTTACATTGTTACACTTAAGTAAAAAACATCTTATTGTTATTTTCTCTTGTTTTATTTGCATCACATTTGATATTAAGATAATCTAAAAGTAACAGAAAGTAATCAGGATACATTACTTTTATATTTTGATACTCAGATTAGGTTACTGATTTAAAATAACCCTCCGAGGCTTGCATATAACACACAGAACAAACTGAAACGTTGACTTTAACTAAATGTATTATGTCAACACATTTCACACAACTGTATTAGGTTAGTTGAAAGAAATACTTTTAAGATGAACCTAATTCATCTTTATTTAAACTTCATGTTATTTATTTTAACTAACCTAATACAGTTATTTGAAATCTGTTGACATAATACATTTAATTAAAGTCAACGTCTCAGTTTGTTCAGTGCAGTTAGTAAGTAATGCAGCTGCCCAACCCTGTGGTCTGATGACCTGCTCTGACATGTGACCCCCCCCCCCCCTGTCTGCCTGGCCTCTGTTTCTCAGATCTCAGAGTGTAGAAGGTCTGGACCAGCGACCCTCCCTCCCTCCTCAAGCTCTGCTTCTTAAGAACGTTCCTACGTTAACTGGTGGAGAAGGGAGACCCAGCAGACATGTGCTCCATGCTCCCGTCCCCTGCCGTCCTCAGCCAATCCAGACCTGCCCTGCCACTCTCCCCTGGCACCTCTCTGAGTCCTCTGATTGGGTCAGCCCGCCTGCTCCGGGGACCAGCCTGGTGGTGCAACCTTCTCAGAGACCAAACCCGCCACGCTATCCTAACCTGATCCCCACCAGCCATCATGCCAGCCCTAGAAGACAGGGGTTCAGCCTGACCAGGCACAGCACCCCTCAACCCCTGGCCAACGAGCCCACTGTGGTGGTCCGGTTGAGAAGTATGTCAGATACTGTGAACAGTCAAACTATGCCCCTGGAGAAGAAGCAAATCCTACCATCTAAGACTGAAAGGGTCTTTTCAGAGCTAAGAGGGACATGCGATGGGCCTCTGGACCTATCAGATAGAGGAAAGTCCAACACCAACCAAACGCCAAGAGATTGTTCACCCATAGCCTTACAAGGTGAAGACAGAGGACAAAGGAGCCCTGACAAGGATGGGAAGGCCAATCAATCTGCACACGGACCAGTGTCCTCATCTCCTCCTGTCCTCCCCCCCAGAAGCTCCTCTACCCCACCAGGCAAACAACAAGACAAAGAGTCTGCCCACGACCATAATAACAAGGTACATTTTTTGCCAATAATAGTGGGACTAAATGGTGGCAACCCTGTAACCTGCTGATTGATCAGAGAAAATATTCAGTAGCGCGTCATTGGATATCCTACAAAATCATCAATAGTGACTGAATCTTCTTTTTTTCATATCTCTGAGATTTAACAGTGTTTTCATTCAAATGGTGGTTGGCAAAGCTACACGAACACCACACCACTTCATCCATTTGGTTACCAATGAAAGGATTCAGCAACTCTCTCGTTTACACAAGAGTGGGTACAATCCAAATTGGTAAATTAGATTTTGTGAGGCAAGTTGAGTGAAGTAGCCAGTGTGTGCTTTCAAATCTTAATGGTCTTTTGGTTCAAAATAAACTGTGGGCCCTTTGCCCGATTAGTACGGTTTGTTATTCATGACAAATATGACTTATAATGCTTATGACTTATTTATTTGAGGGCTCTTTTTGACACCAAACATAAATATATATCTGAAGCGTTAAAGAGCACCATGAACTTCTGTCAATCATATAATTTGATGTCCCTACGTGGGTGCTGATGATGCAGAAGGATTGACAAAACTTTCCAGAAACTTACCTCTCAGTCTGTCTAACTATATGTTTACCTCTTGTAATAAAACAATTTCCCAGACCAAATGAACTGAACTACAGGTGTGAAAGCACCTTGGAAGACATGGAGGTAACGGTAAAAGGGACAAAAAGGATTCATGGTATAATGGTCTTGTCACGGCAGGTATTCAAAGAGGATGATCAGAAAGAGGAGTTGAATGGAAAGACCGACCAAAGCAACGAGAAGAAGGTGCCTGTCCTCACCATATCACTGCGTCCAGGTGAACAGCTTACATTCACACTGCACTCGTCTGTGTGTTTCTTCATTTCTACCTTTATTCTACTTACTGGGTTCATGTTTCTTTAACAGTAGTGGTGCTGGAGAGTCTGAATTCTGCTCTGCAAGAATCCTTAACGTCAAAAAGCAAGGTACGTCCATTCAAGTCAACAAAGCAAATACAGTAAAGGCAGTGTAACTACTCTGGTCTTGAAAGAACTTTACGTATCGAACTGATGTCCACAATCACGTTTATTCTCTTCTTTGTACAATCATGAAACACCGTGAAAACGTGTTCGCCGAGTAGACCAGCAGTAGAATTACGTTATCACATCGTTGACACTTTTATCGCCCTTTTACTCTCTCACAAACACAATATAAACATCCGGGGCAAGAGGTCACATGACTTCCGGAAAGACAACTCTCATCATTTTTACAAAATAAAACAAAGTTCAAGCATACATTAAGCACTCTTCAAAAAATACAGAACAATAAATAAGGGCACTTTGAGCGTCAGCTACAGGCAGTGCTTGCATATGTCAAAGGGAAAATGTTCATGATCTTAGTATTTCTGTTTAATGTTCCTGTTTAATCTGGAAATGTATTTTCTCTTGGTTTCTTGTCTTGTTTTACTTCCTGTGTTTTCCCTGCAGTTTGATTGTGCCTGATTCTGTTCTCCTGTTACCCTTGTGTTTTTGCATGCCCTCCCAATCTGTATCTTGTCAAGGTCATAACATTACATTACATTACATTGCATTTAGCTGACGCTTTTATCCAAAGCGACTTACAATAAGTGCATTCGACCAAGAAGATACAAACTTGAAGAAAACAGAATCATATAAGTACATCAGGTTTCATAGAGCCAAAACATTTCAAGTGCTACTCAACTGGCTTTAGATAAGCCAGTCCTTTGTTAGTATATAAGTGCTTTGTTAGTAATTGTATTGCTCGAAGTGGAGTCGAAAGAGATTAGTTTTTAGTCTGCGCCGGAAGATGTGTAAGCTTTCTGCTGTCCTGATGTCAATGGGGAGCTCATTCCACCATTTTGGAGCCAGGATAGCAAACCGACGTGTTTTTGCTGATGGGAACTTGGGTCCCCCTCGTAGTGCTGGTGCAGCGAGCCGTTTGGCTGATGCAGAGCAGAGTGCACGTGCTGGGGTGTATGGTTTAACCATGTCCTGGATGTAGGAAGGGCCAGAACCATTCACAGCATGGTACGCAAGTACCAGTGTCTTGAAGTGGATTCCAGCAGTTACTGGAAGGATGCAGTGAAGGGAGCGGAGGAGCGGTGTGGTGTGGGAAAATGTAGGAAGGTTGAAGACCTGACGCGCTGCTGCATTCTGGATGAGCTGCAGAGGTCGGATGGCACATGCAGGTAGACCAGCCAGGAGGGAGTTGCAGTAGTCTAATGGCGCATTTCCACTACAGCGCGGTTTAAGCGTGCCGTGCCCGGCCCGTTTTTGGTTGCATTTCCACTAGGCGTAGTTCCGGCTAGCAGGTACTTTTTCACAGTTTTCTGGCTCTCCAAAATCAAGGTTCTTTCCGGGCCAACAACCGGGCTGAGTATGCTAAACTAGTGAGAGAATCGCTGGCAACTACAACAAAATGAACATATTTGACCGTGATTTAATTGTAATACACATTTCAAAATGATGCCGAAGTAACAACATACTGATACCGGTTAGTAAAAACCATGAATTAATGCTTTGACAAGTCTGCAGACAGACGGCAGGCGAAAAACCTTTTAAAATGCGTCTTTTCTGAATGGAGATCGGCTAAGCTAACGCAGTATATGCTCCGACCGTCCACACTCACAACAACGGCCTATACAGACATAAATAAACCAGCGACTGTATTCACCATGACACAGACAGTCTGTGGTTTGTACTTGTTTAACTTTTGTCTAGTTTCTGAACAGATATGAGGAGCTGTGAGCTCTGAGTGCTAACAGCTAACGGCTGATGTTGGTTTTGTGTTTCGCATTGAAGATGACGTCACGGCTCCGCCTACACTGCGTTACTATAGTTACTACCCCAGTTCCTAAACTGTAATGGAAACGCAGCATAAAGTGAGCCTGGCCTACCAAGGCCTAACTATACCGTACTAAGCCGTGCGAGGCCCTGCAGTGGAAATGCGCCATAAGCATGAGATGACGAGAGCCTGGACCAGAAGTTGTGTCGCTTTCTGGGTCAGGAGGGGACGTATCCTCCTGATGTTGTAAAGAGTGTATCTGCAGCAGCAGGTTGTTGCAGCGATGTTTGCAGTGAAGGACAGGTTGTTATCTAGGGTCACACCCAGATTCTTTGCAGTCTGAGTCTGGGAAACAACAGAGGGGCCTATGTTGATTGTTAGGTCAAGAGTGGGACAATCTTTTCCCGGAAGAAAAAGCAGTTCAGTCTTGTCAAGGTTGAGCTTGAGGTGGTGAGCAGACATCCACTGAGAGATGTCTGCTAGACAAGCAGAGATGCGTGCGACAACCTGGGTTTCAGAACGGGGAAAAGACTAAATTAATTGAGTGTCGTCAGCATAGCAATGGTATGAAAAACCATGTGGGTTAATGAGAGATCCGAGCGAGTTTGTGTACAGAGAGAAGAGGAGGGGACCAAGGACAGAGCCCTGAGGGACCCCTGTAGATAATTGACAAGGGTCGGACAGTTACCCTGTAGGTGCGGTTTTTGAGGTATGAGGTGAGGAGGGAAAGTGCAGAGCCTGAAACTCCAAGTTCTTGGAGAGTGTGAAGGAGGATCTGATGGTTCACCGTGTCGAATGCAGCAGACAGGTCCAGAAGGATGATGATAGAGGAGAGGGAGGCTGCTTTAGCAGTGTGCAGTTCCTCAGAGACAGCAAGGAGAGCAGTTTCTGTGGAGTGACCTGCCTTGAAACCAGACTGGTGCGGATCAAGAAGGTTGTTCTGATGGAGATAACAGGAGAGTTGTTTAAAGACAGCGTTCAAGTGTTTTAGACAGGAATGGGAGGAGAGAGACAGGCCTGTAGTTTATAACATCGGACGGGTTGAGAGTGGGTTTCTTTAGGAGAGGGTTTACTCTTGCCTCCTTGAGACTGTTTGGAAAGTGACCAGAAGTTAGAGAAGTATTGATGAGATGGGTGAGAAACGGTAGAATATCAGGAGCGATAGTCTGAAGGAGGTTTGAGGGGATAGGGTCCAGAGGACAGGTGGTAGGACGGGCAGAGGTAATGAGGGTAAGAACCTCATTTGGAGAGAGAGGGGAAAAGGAGGTTAGTGTGTGGGTGAACGGTGGGACTGGTGACCCAGTGGTGACTAATGGTGAGTCGGAAAATGAAGAGCGAATATCATCAACCTTTTTTTCAAAGTAGTTAACAAAGTCGCTTGGAAGAAGGGAGGAGGGGGAGGGGCTCTGGGGGGGTCAAGGAGGGATGAGAATATAGAGAACAGTTTTTTGGGATTGGAATAGGAAGAATTTATCTTATCTTGAAAGAAAGTGCTTTTTGCCTGAGAGATCGGCAAAAAGCAGTCCTGTCTCTATAAATGCCCGTCAGTCATAGTGTTATTGTCAGTCCGTGTCGTGTTTCCTGCTACCAGTTTGTTCCTGGTGTTCTTTGCTGTTCCCTTTTCCTGGTGTAATTCCTGGTTTTGTTTTATTTCTCTCCTTTCATTTTACCTCGCCTGCTCCTTTAGGGTTTTGTCGAACGAGCTTTAATTTAATAAAGCTCGCCTTTTGTAAAGCTTTTGTTTTATACTTCGTTTGGGTCCTGCCTTCCTTACCCCCTTGTGACAGAAAATATTAGCTTTCCTAGTTTGATTTCACTTGAGAAAAAGGTTTCTTTCTGATTCCTCTTCTTTGTCACAGTCATCGTCAGCAGCAACACAGCGAGGGAGCAGCTCAGATGAGCGGGACGATGAGGGGAGTGTGTCGGAACGAGAGAGCAGCCAGGGCTGCAAGAGGAGGAGGGCGTCTGCGGGGACAGAGACCGACAGGGACTCTGAGACAGACAGTAGGCACAAGTTTATCATTTCAGTTCTCGACGTTTCTTGTTTTCCTACATTCTTTTTTTTTCTCTGTCTGTGGTCTTCAAATCAATTTGCATTTCTAAAGCTTTTTCTAAATGCCTCAAGAAGCATAATCCTCCTTGACCTTATTGCACCTTCAGCACCATTAACCACTCCATCCTCATCAGCCACCTCCAGTTCTACACTACCGCCCTCTCCTGTTTTAAATCGTACCTCTCCGACCGACATCAATATTTCTCCATCAGCAGCTGCAAATTCCCCACAGCCTCTGTCCCCCACGGTGTCCCCCAGGGCTCTGTACTTGGTCTCCTTCTCTTTATCATTTACATCCTCCCATCCTATTATTCTTGCTTCTACCAAGTTTTGTGAGAACCGGGCCCACAGTTTTCCCTAATCGTGCACAAATAGACAGACAAACAAACAAAATCAAACCCATATCGACCCCTAAACAAAACCACCATGGCGGAGGATCTTGAAAACCCTGCATGTTGTCTCAAACCAGCTAAAATCTATCATTCAATAACAATTAAACCAGAATGTAATGGATAAGGTGTAAATGTCTTTGCATCTTAATCCACACAGCAAACTCTGTAATTATACAACTGTCATAATGATGATTTATCTCTATCTCTGTAAGACAGAAACACCACAATTATTAAGCATACAGAGAGCAGGATAGATACTCTAATACAACTCTTGTAAAGAAAGCTAATCTGATATAGTGTCAACTATTGTCAGTCTTTTTTCTGCTTTCTGCTTCATATATACATTTAAAAATGATTTGCTGGACAATTTTTCTCCCTAACCAAAAGGAACTGTTTGGAACAATTTTCCTTTTTTTCCCTTAAAGACACCCAGAAGGAGAAGAAGGTCAAGATCACCGTGAGAACTGAGGAAAGGAGCCCTCGCTGAAGAGAACCATGTCCCATGGTCTCGTGATCTCACTCAGACCTGTGTCAGATTATTGAAATGGGTGTCACTAAATCCAAATCCAATCCTAATGGCATAAATATGCCCATCAGCATTCTGTTTGGCCATTTATAGTTGTTCGTAAGAGAAGTGGCTTAAAAAGTCACACATTGTGCAACACAAATATATCATAGTGTGACTTCTGTGCAGTCTCTTATTTTGAAGCTGTTGATTGGTTCAAATTTGATCACCACGGCTATTTCAAATGCAGTATCACTGCTCATCGCAGTAGAGAACAGCACTGTCATTTCCCCCCCTGCCCCTTTGTAAAACACTAAAAAGGCCTTTAACTTACTCTTGACCTTTAATCTGACATTTCTAATAAATTGTTAAATATTGTAGAAAATAGCTGTTTAATCATATAAGCCATTTGGAAAACTCCTATCCCACACTATCATAACTTCATGTAACGTGTTTATAATTATTTCACTTTCCTGGCATTACTGTAACTGCCTGGCTATTTTTGCCTCAGAGTCTCCCCGCCCTTTACGGCGTCTTAAGTTACCAACAAAGAAGAGAAAGAGAAAAAAAAACATGTTCCTCTTCCTCTTTTACATTTACAGAATGCACATATTTTGCAAGTATTAACTTTCCGTTCACAGCTGTGAAAACTTGTGGTAAGCCGGGTGGATAAAAGTAATAATTGACAGAGTCACTTCATAACGCCTAGCCTACTTTTGTGAATCATCACTCTAAAGTCAATAAATATCCATTTTGTGTGAATATAGAACATATTTTTTTAATGGAGATGTCCCAATCAATAGGCAGAATCAGCCAGTATTTACCCTGCATATGAGATTGTTATTTTCCCTTCTGCTCTTTTTCTGTTGTGCACTTGAAGCCTTTGTAGCTTTAATGCTGCTTTATATAGACTTTTATTTTTCTATCATGTCTCTCTAATAGCTTTCCCCCTGCCAGTGGTATCTCGTTGATTATTCAAATGTGATTGACTGTACGTACTATTGCATTGACTTTAATAGTGATTTAGTGTTGCCGTCTGCTCTTGGTCAATTTTGTTTTCAAAATGACAAAATGTACACTTATACACATTTTTGTCTGAACACACTACTTCTCATGCTGAAATAAACTCCCGTCCTTGAACGTTGCCTCTGTAGCTCCCACTGTATGTGATTCAGCTCCGATATATGGTACCTAAACTGGATCAACACACACTTCCTGTAGGGTGAATTGCCCTTGGTGAATATTGATGAGTGTTCTTGGAAATAGAAGTAACATCACGTCTGATGTTTGTTCAGGACATTATGCAAAACAAGTTGTGTTAATAATCAGGGATGTAGAAACAAGTGGAAACCATCAGAATGTTGTCATGCAGGGTGTTATACAAGTCACTGTTGCCAATTATATTCTATTCACAGATCACATGTTTCTGTAAAGCTACAATCTAACAGTGAGCCACACTGCAGAGCAGTTCCTCTAATTTATTTGAGTTTGTTCTGCTTGTGCAGATGAAATGTGGTTGTATTTCTGCAAGCTGGAAGTGACGGATGTAAATTAGCTGTGTTAGGTAAGCTGTTTCCAGTGATGGAAACTAACCGTAACTCTACATTACAAGTACTGTACTTTAGTACAACATTGAGATACTTCTACTTTAGTATTTCCAATTACTGCTACACAATACTTCTCCTTCACTACAAGTTCCAAGTTACATTTTGCAGATTTATATTTAAAATAAAACTATCACTAATATTCATCAACAACCAACTACTGAAAGTGTATAATTAAATATTAAATTATCCAGCAACATATAAAGCAATTAAATATATATCCATATGTATAACCAACAAGTCCCATCATGAGAGACAGCTGCAAGGAAAAACTCAAACAACACAACACAAACAAAACGAGACACATATTCTGCTCATTCTCAGGTTCATATCAGTATTTTGTGTCTCTACTGTAACATGTCTCCATGCTTTAAAGTTCAAAAAGCTCTTTATTTTTCTCATACTGCCTGCCTGCAGCACCTCTTTTCACCCTCTGTCTGAAACCAGAGCCCAGTCTGCTCTGATTGGTTAGCTGGCCACCTCTATCGTGATTGGTCAACCGCTTAGAGATGTCCCGCCCCTTCAGCCTATCACGTACGATGTGTTGGAGCGCTAGCCAATAGTAGCGCAAGTGTTACATAATGATGTCACTATGTGATGGACAGGGTTGGGTTGTAACGGAATACATGTAACGGCGTTACGTAATCAGAATACAAAAATCAAGTAACTGTATTCAGCTCGCGTTACATTGGAAAAACGAGTAATCTGATTACAGTTACTTTCGTAAACCTGAAGTGAATACATTTTGGATTACTTATTGGAATTATTGGTGGAAAGATTTCCTCACAACATTTAATATTCATTACTAAAGGTACAGCCGAATCATCACAGCGCACAAAACCTATTACCGCCGCAGATGGACCAAAAAAGGGAGCGTTTGAAAAAAATGTGCGGGTCCGCTCAGTGAAACAATAACAACGAAACATGGAGGAACAAAAGTCTGCGTTTAAATCGTGTGTGTGTAGAGGTGTGTGTGGTTAAAACACATCAGCCTGCGGTCGCTCTTTAGCCTTTCTAATGATTCTGAAGGTAAACGCAGTGAAGGCGGTGCGTGAAAGGCACTGCGCGCTCCTCTTCTCAGAGGCTGAGTTAACCCTCCCGCTGCCTCCTTGTGCTGCAGAGATTTCATGAAGTGCCAATCCGGTGCTTAAGCAAATATAGCTCTACACCCCTGGCCGAAATGTCCTTAAAATGAAGTCCGAGTTCGACATTTTAATTCATGTCCTGCCAACACTGGCAGGACAGAAGGCGACAGGCCGGTTCTAAGCCGTGTCCCTCACTCCTCACATCCCAAGCTGCATCCCCAAAAAGTGTATTATGTTGTTACATCGTTTCAGATGTTATGTTTCAGTTGTGCTCTTGATAAGCCATTAAAACAGTAAAAACACGTTCAGTTTCCTTTTGCTTTTTGTGTCTCCTGTTCACCAAAACATACCCATCTGTGATGGAAAAATAAAGTAATCCAAAAGTAATCTAAAAGTAATCTGATTACGTTACTTTTTTAAGACACGTAACTGTAACTGTATTCGGATTACTTTCAGAGCCATGTAATCAGTAATCAGTAACTGATTACATTTACAAAGTAACCCTCCCAACCCTGGTGATGGAAGTAAACAATGGAGTCCAACCTGCGTAACCCTAACGCAGCGTCCACACGGCGGCGTGCATTGAAGCTTGCCGGTGGGCGTGTCTGAAACTCGACCACAACCAATCACATGAATCTCCCGCCCCGGACACACAAGGACGCGGTTTGATTGGCTAGAGCTTGCACTGGCATATGATTTGATTGGCTGACGCTTCCGTCGAAGCTTCAAAAGTAGAACATTGCTCTACTTTGAAGTCATGCAGGGTGTTATACAAGTCACTGTTGCCAATTATATTCTATTGAAGCGAGCAACGCGAGCAAAGCGAAGCGACGGAACCACAATGCAGTTCGGCAAAGCGTGACGTCACCCCATTCAAAGTCAATGAGCAGAAGCGTTGAAGCTTCAGCGCACGCCGCCGTGTGGACGGGCCGTAACACCAGCAGACAGTTTGGTTATGTCTAGGCACACAAATCCACCCAAAACACTGCGGACTGTGTGACTTAAGGCCCTTAACGCGGTTCCTGTTCTAGCTCCGTGCTTGCGCTCTTCTGGTTTGGAACCGTTTTTTCTTTTCAGCCCCCGTTTTGTTCACACCGCCCATGCCCGATAGGGGTGTTGAAATTAATTGTTTCTACGATGCATTGTGATGCGGACGTGGACGATTCTGCATCGATGCAGGGACAGAACATAATCGATTATAGCATAGTAACGTTGCTTCCCGATCTTCCGGCTGCGGCTGGAAATAACGTTTTTTTTTCTGTCACACGAATATCAAATCGGTCGGTGACGCAGAGATCAGGGAACAGAAGTGACAGCGGCACAGCGACTCCAAACACGGAGCAGTCTGCTTTATCCACCAACACAAGCACCAGTCCAGAACCAACAGCAGAATGACCCGCTCTGAATCACTCCGTGTCGCTGCGGCTCAGACACACAACGATTTATGTTTTTGAAAAACACTCGTTGTCGTCATGTCAGGTTTTTGGTGGATTTAATTAAGTCTTGGATTGCAGAGTATGAATGTCCTCTATTTTCAGACGATAAATACGTGTGTAAAGTTTGTGAAGGCAGGAGGAAAGCTTCCGCGATCACCGTCTCCTCTCTGCTGCTCCAAACCCGGCCCCCCTCCTGAAAATAATGAGTGACAGGCTGATTGTAATCTGATAGAAACTTTATTATTCACTTAAAGGTAGGGTAGGTAAGTTTGAGAAACCGGCTCGAGATCGCTAGAATTTGAAAATACACAACCGGAGAAAATCTGCCACTTCCTTATAGAGCCCCTCCTCCAACACACACGAACGCGCACATGAACAATGAGGGCACGAGATAAGTTTGTGCACAGATGGAAGGCTGACAGGCAGGTAGGCCATCCAGTTATTTTAGCCGGGCCGGCTAAAATGATTGGTCGTGCTTTTTACAGTACTACGGCTTCCACAGATGACATTTTTTTATGGATTTTTTGTCAAAGCACTTAAGATATTCATTGCTATCGGGATGTTAAGAGCATTCCATGGAATATAACAAAAAGTGTATCTCGAGCCGGTTTCTCAAACTTACCTACCCTACCTTTAATCACTGATTGAGATATGATGAAGCTAACTTAATCTCCTACAATCATGGGATTAATGTAACAGTAAAACAGAGAATGTAAGTGTGCACCCACATGCACTATTTTTGTTTTTATATGCTGTTGTAAATACTCCTGTTGTCTGCTGTGTTCAGACTTAAGTCTTGTTTGTGATGCCACATTCAGGACATTCAGTGTCCTTTTTTGAACAGAAGACCGTAGCTAGAAGCTGCAGCTAGACTGCAGAAGTATTAGTTTTTGAGGATGGAACAACTTCACACACAGATATAGGGAGGCTAGACCTATACAATTGGTTTACTTTGGTTTATAATTTAATGTCAAGACATTTATGTTATTGATTTCTGATGCACTTTCTAAATAATAAAAAGGGAGTTCATATTTATCTTACTGCTTGTATTCATTGATGAAAAAGAAGCCATGTGCAGTAATATAGAAAATTGAGGATGCAACGCATTGTTATGCATCGTGATGCATCGGGATATCGAATCGAATCGTTGACAGAATAATCGTAATCGAATCGTGAGACCAGTGAAGATGCACAGCCCTAGAGCTCGAATGGTGCTGCCGCGGCTGCGTCATGACGTCACCGTTTACGTCGCTGATTTTCTCCCCAACGGCGCTCACTACAACAACAACAACAACAACAATGGGGGACTGCGTCGGATCGATGATCGTGTTGCTTTTAATCATACGAAGCCAGATTAAATTAAATAACTACTTCTCAACCCTGAGTGCCGTGGTTCATTGTTTATTAATGTGTTTCAGCGGCATTTACCGACCGCTGCAGTGCTGCCCGCTGTTTGGCATCACAACGCTGTTATGACAGTTTCTTTGGTATAAAATGGGTGATGTTAGCATAGCAACCGAAGCTAAACTGACTATCTTGACTACTTGCTATCCTATTGTGGCATAAGCCGTTTTCTACAGGCACATTTTACCAGCGTATTTTTCATTATGATTCTACTTGAGATAGTCGGACACCTGTGCAGCCCATGTATTGATTCCATCCGATAGCTGCTATAATACAAAACAAAACGTCTGCCTGCTCTCCACAATGATCAATAACAGCGAACGGATGGTCAAAGTAAGGTACAAATTAACAGAATCACACGAGGCCTGGTTAGTGTTGCCTGACTTTATAAAATGTGTGGTTGCGTTCTAGTCACTTTGCTCAGCGCTACTGCTTGTTACAACTTTTATTTGCCGCACTCGCCATAAACTGTTGCTCAGGTTGATCCCGCCCCCGCCTCTGACGAAACGGTTCTTGCTTCTAGACCGACAATTTTTTGGAGCTTGGTAAGAACCGGTTTTCGGGGAAAACCGCTACGGGAAATCTGATTTAGTCTTCTTATTCTTTGGGTTTAGG